CTATTATTCTGTGAGCCCTCCGCTGCAGAACGGGGTAGGGGGGCGGAGGGTGCAGGGGGGCAGTGTTGCAGCCTGTGTTGGCTCCGGCAGGAGCATGCACCCAGTCAGGCAGCAAGATCACTGTGTGGGGGGCCTGTGCGCCCACACTTCCTCTGGGCCAGGCTACAGGGAGTGTCCAGGATCACACACCACACTGTCTCCTCACTCCTCTGAGGGCATCTTGTCCCACCCATGTCACCTCAGGAGGCAGGAGGCAGGGAGGTTGCTGGCCAGAAAACTGGGGTGGGGGGTGTAAAGGAGAGCGCCTGCGTCTCTGAGGTGGGACAACACACCCCAGCTCTGGGCTGGTTCCCCAGTTTGGAAAATACCACGGGGCCACTCTCCCCTGCTCTGTAATTTTCCAGCTGACCTGGAATTCCCTCTGTGACTCTTGCCCTCTTTTCTGGGGCGGAGGGGTCACTAGAGGCTCGGGCCCGGGGACTCCACCGAGCCCCTCTCTGGCTGGCCTGAGTAAGGAGCTGAAGACTCCGGAGCGCAGCGACGACCTGAGGGTCCCCTCAGGAGAGGGAGAGTTTCCGGTGGACCGTGGTCCAGTCGGGCTCCTCAGCCGCCGAGGAGCGCGCGCCAGAGCCACGCTTCCTTCCTCCCCCTGGCCTCCAGCTCTAGGGAGCACCGCGGCGGGGCTTGCTCACACCTCACACCTGACTGACTGGCGGCGGGGTGTAGCCAAGCCCCAGAACCGGGCGCGCCCCAGTGCCCTGCCTCGTCTCCCTTCCCGGGGACTCCGCGTTCCTCAGGCGCGCAGGGCACCTCGAGAGGCGAGGGGGGAACGGGGGGCGTGGGGATGACGGGGAGTGGGGGGGCATTTGCTCTCCCTCACCGAGGCCGCCTCCCCCCTGCATTGTCTCCTCCAGTCAAAGGCACCCCGGGAGAGGCTCGCTCAGCCGCTGACAAAGGGCGCGTCTGACTAAACCCGCCCCGCGTCGCCCCCTGCCCCGGGGCCCCGCCAACGCGCCCCTCCAGGAGGGCGAGCGCTCGGGATGTGGCTGCAACTTCAGGAGGAGGAGGCACCCACCGGGGCGCTCTCTGGGCCGAGGGGTGTGTGTGTGTGTGTGTGTGCGCGCGCGCGCGTGTGAGTGAGTGTGTGTGAGAGGGGGGCGGGGCGCTCTCTGGGCCTCGGGCGAGCCGCGGGGTGTGTGTTTGTGTGTGTGTGCGCGCGCGCGAGCGTGTGTGTGTGACTGAGTGAGTGAATGAGTGTGCGTGTGAGGGGGGCGGGCTGTGGCATGTGGCATCTCCTCTCGGCCGAGCCGCGGGATGTGTGTGTGTGGGTGTGTATGTGTGTGTGTGAGGGGGGCGGGCTGTGGCATGTGGCATCTCCTCGAGGCGCACGGGTGTGTGTGTGTGTGTGTGTGTGTGTGCGCGCGCGCGCGTGTGAGTGAGTGAGTGAGTGTGTGTGAGGGGGTTGGGCTGTGGCATGTGGCATCTCCTCCCGGCGGCCGGCCGGGCTGGGTGGGGTGCAAGCTCGGGCCCGAGCGGCGCGCCGGGGGTCACGGTCGCCGGCTGGCTCGGTGAGGGGAGGTGCCCGCCCGCCCGCCCGTCCACGCCGGGCCGCTCCCACCCCCGCCCCCCGCCCGCAGCCCGCCCCCCACCCGCAAGGGGGGCGCCCGGGTGGCCAGCGCGAGGGGGCGGCGCGGCCCGCGGTAATGACAGGGCGTCCGCGGGGGCCACGCGGGGGCCGCCCGCCCGGCGCGCCGGCCGCGGCTCGGGCTCGCGCGCCCCCGGGGTCCCGGCCCCACCCTCCGACCCCCTCCCCGCACCCCACCTCCGCCGCCTCGCCCCGCCCCCTCCTGGCGGCCCCAGCGCGCATGCTCTCTCCCCCCGCCGAGCAACCTGGAGATTTAAAAGCCGCCGCCGCCGCCGCCGCCGGCGCGCGTGGGGGCGCGGGGGTGGGGGGAGCACGGCGCGCCGCACGCGGGCCCCGCTGACAGCCGCTCGCCCGGGCCAGGTAGGGGCGCGGGGCGCGGCGCGGGTGGGCGGGCTGGCTGGCGGGCTGGCGGCGTCGCGCGCGGGGCGCCCGCGGGATGGGGCCGCGCCGAGCCCCCCGCTCCGCCCCGGGACCGCCCCACCCTGCCTCTGCCCCGCCGCGGGCCGCCCGCCCGGCGGCTGCGGGGCGCCCGTTCGCCGCCCGCCGCGCGGGGCTTGTCTTCCGCCGCCGGCGGGCCGGGGTCCCCCCTCTTGGCAGTCCCGGGCCGGGCGGGCGGGCGGGCGGCGGGGCGGGGCGGGGACGCCTCCCCGGGGCCCCCCGGGCGCGCCGAGCCGCCGCCGCCGCCGCCGCCGCCGCCGCTCGCCCCGGCGCAGCCTCCCGCCGCCGAGTTTTCTTTGGAAAGTTGCGTTTTATTTTCTTCCCTTGTCTCGGCTTCACCGGAAAGGGGCTGGATGAGTCACCCGGCGCGCTCGGGAGCCGCCGCGAGCGGGGCTGGCTGGCCCGGGACGCCGGGGTCGGGCTCGGCCCGTGCGGGGAGGCTCGAGGGCTTCCCGCGTGGGGGTCGGGGGGACGAGCCGCCGAGCCCCCGGGACTCAGCCCTGGCCGTGCGCGCGCGGGAGCCAGCGTGGGGCCCCGACCAGCCCCTGGTCCCTACCCCCTCCCCACCCCGGAGCTCGGGAAGGAATGCTGAGCCGAGCAAACAGGTGTGATGAGGGGCACCTGGACTGCCGCGGGCCCCTCGGGGCCTGCCCTGCAGCGCTGCCCTGCGGGTGGACCCCTGTCCTGCCCTGCCCTGCCCTGCGCCGCGGATCAGCGTCCACCTCCCGCGCACGGAGGAACTGCTTCGCTCCCCCACCCCGGGGCTTCCTCTTTCCCCCGGGACAGAGTTGGGGATGGGGAGGTTTCTCCGTGGCGGGTACCTGGGGGGCTTGCGGGGAACCCTGGCCGGGAGCGGGCCGAGGCAGGGCTGGGGGCAACTGGGGACTGGCGGCTTCCTGAGCGCTGGGCGACCTGGGGGCACTCACCTGCCCAGCCAGGGCCGTCAGGCTGGCCGGGGCTTGGGCATGGGAGGCCCAGGCTGGAAGGAGGGAAGTTGAGGAGACCCAGAGAGCCGCTGCTCCCCGAGGGAGTGGGACGCAGTTTGAGGTCACCAGCCCTTGTGTTGGACGAGTCCCATCCCCTCATTCCTCCCTTATCTCCTCCCCTCAGGCCTGTCCCGGAGCCAGGACTCAGCTGTCCTGAAAGTGCTCCGTTGGGGAACTTGAGTCAGCCGCATAGGCTGGAGAGAACAGGACAGCGGTGCTCACAGCTGCCCCAGTTCGGAGGTGGGGGTGGGGGGGTGGCGAGTGTCCCCCAAGGTGGGCCTGGGATGCAGTGATGTATCTCTGACACTGCAGTTCTAGGGATAACCCCGGTGTCGGGAAGACAGGTTCATGTCCTGCTCTGCCCCACTAGCTGGGCTGGTCACTCAGCCTCTGCCTCAGCATTGCTGGCTGTGAAATGGACCCAAGAGTAATGACGATCCTGTGGCTTGGTTACTTAATCCTATTCTTAGAACCATATACTTAAATGTATACGCGATGGTCTGCCAGGCCTTATGTATCCTCACTAATACTGGACTTCACTGTACCGGGCCTGTCACCTGTGATGCCCAGCCTGACACTCTGTTCTTGGTGACTCTTGCAAAAAAAATCCAAAACTCGGCTGTCGATCCTGTTTCTTTGGGAGCAAGGTCTTCTGCGATTGGGGGGGGGGGGAGGGGGGGTTGGCACCAGAGACGGGGCTAGTGGCCACTTGTGGGGCATCACATCCTCTTGCACAGGCCACTTCTCTGCGCCCTGGCTTCCATGAGCCCGGGTGACAGTATCTGTCACAGTACTGCGAGGATTAGACGAGCCTGTGTCGGCCGAGCTCAGCGCACAGCAGCTGCATGGCCGGGAAGTTTGAGGAGTGTCAGCTGCTGCAGCTCCGCGACAAAGGACATGATCATTGTGGTTCACACTTGGAAGCTGGGTTTTCATGAGGGGATTAGACCATCTATGACTACATTGTGACACATTGGCAGTTGAGCTGTGTCCTGTGCAAAGAACACCCAGGACTGGTGTCCCTGTCAGATTGTAGAGGCTGGGTGACTCTGGGGACGTGTGTGCCAGAGACGAGGGGCCTTCCACACAGTGAAGTTACTTGGGCTCACAGTTGGGGTTGTGTATGAGAGGAAAGGGGAGCGCTGAAGGTGGGGCTCTGCCCTTCCCCACACATACACTTCCCCTGGAGGCCCTGGGCCCCCGTCAGCCGGCTTTCTGCGAACAGTCAGTGGCCCTGTTTGCTGGACAGTGAGGGTGGAGGCTGGACCAGCTGGTGCCAGGACCAGTGGCACAGAGCTGATGCCACTTGACTCCTGGCAAGAGAGCTGGAGTGTGAGGCTTTGTCTAGGGGGTGTAAGTGTCCCTGCTTGGGGACAGGGCCTGGCGACAGAGCCGTCTGGGATGGTGCTGGTATCCGGCCACCACTTTCTATTCGGTCCTTTTTTCCTACCCTGAACTTTCCTTCTCCTTGCAAAGGACGCACAGCTGTGCCCCCACAGTGAATGGGCTTCTTGCTTCTCACGTGGGGACCCCTCACTGGGGCTCTGGTTTCTGTGTCCGTGTGGGTCTGTGGGGAAGCCCTGGGAGCCGCCATGCCCGGGGTGCAGAGCAGAGCTGCTGGTCCGTTCCTCTTCCCTTCTTTGTGGCTTCTAGCGATCGTGCTTTCTGGAGGTTGGGGTGAGCCGGCAAAGAGGGCGATGGGAGAGCAGCCCACAGGCCCATCGCCCACAGCGTCGCCGTCACTCCCCGCCTGAGAGAGGCCCTCCTGAGCGGCCTGCTGCCCTTGGGTCCCTCTGTCCCCGTGCTTGTGGTCATGCCCCCGCCCCTAATCTGCAGCGTACTTTGAGCTGGCAAATAGTGTCCAGGCTGGGAGTGCCCTGCCCATCCCTGCGGATGTGGCAATCCAGCTCCACTCCTGGCTCCTGCCGCCGGGTGAGCTGAGCACCCACATTTCCTCCGATGGTGCTGCCCGAGTCCGCGCACGGGGCCGAGACCACAGCGGCGGGACTCTTGACTCAGCCTCTTGGGTAAGGCTTTCTGGGGAGTCCCCCTGCTCCGGGGCTGCCTTCCAGCAGCTGAAGGGCTGCCAAATCCTGACCAGGAGCGCTGGCCAACCCCGAGCAGCACCGGCTGAGCGCGGGGCGAGGACAGCTTGTCTCCTGAGCCCTGAGGAGAGGAGCAGAGAGGCGACTGGAGTGCACTTTTGGGGGGAGCCCCACCTGGCAGTCCTTAGGGGATACTCCCACCTTAGTGCTCAGGGGTCATTCCTGGAGGTGCTGGGGGGACCGAGTGGAGTCAGGGAGCAGACCTGGGTTCCCTGCGTGCAGAGCCCGTGCTCCAGCCTGCTGCACTCTCCTCAGCCCACGCTGACTCTCTAGGAAGCAAAATGGAACAGATGAGTACTTGGGCCCCAGAGCTGAGATTAAACCACAGTCCCATGACTTGGGGGTCATCTTTCTATATCTCTTCCTGGGGAGCAGCCAGGTGTTCATGGGAACCCCAGGTTTGACTCACGGTGTCTTGTAGACGTTTACCCTTTTCTGCATAGTTCTCTTTCAAGGCTCAACAACATGGCCACCACCTCCAAGAAGCCCTCAGGGAACTGTGTGAGCGTCCTCACACTCCCGCTGCCCTTGCTGCTTCCATGAGGGCCAGCACCTTATGTGCGTCCTTAGCACCTGCACGGCAGGCTGAGGCTGAGGCTGAGGCTGGGGCTCTTCTGTGCTGGCCAGCAGCTGGGGGATGGGTGGTGGGTGTCCAGCTCTCAGCATTCCTTTGGGGGAGGTCAGGTTGCATGCAGTGAGGCGTGCTTCCTCCCAGGACAGGCTGACCAAGGCTCTTTAATCAGGAATCTGTTGCTTTTTCAGCAGGGTCCCTTGGGGGGGCCTTACAGTGCCTGGATTTGAACCCGAGCACCTGCCTAGCCCTTTACTCTGCTCCCTGGACTCCTTTGCTCGCTGAGTGACTGCTCTCTGTTTGGGGGAATGTGTCTCTTAGGGTGCCTGGTGCCCTGCTACAGATGGGGTTGGCAATAGACCCCAGGACAGCAGACCTTAGCGACCTTGGCATTTAAGGGACCAGGTGCCCCAGAAGCGGACACTGGAGAGGGCTGTGCTCCTCTGCCCCCCCCCCCCCATACCTCTTCAGGCCACGGGGTGGGGTGGGGGGATGAGAGCGGGCAATGGGGGGGCAGGGGTTCAGATTTCACCCCCAGACTGAGGAGAGCTCAGTGGACTGAGATTGCGCCTCTTCCCGCCATCCTCTCCACACCCAGCACTGTCTCGGTCCTGCTGGTCCCCTTCCTACGGCGCAGGCATTGTGGCCAAGAGGGAGAAATGATTGCGTTTCTCGGCCTGCCAGGAGCAGAGTCCAGCACTGGCAGAGCAGGAGAGAGGGCACCTCTGCCTAAAGGTGCCTGGCTTCCTTGGCTTCGTTTCAGGTGGCTGCTGACCTCAGGCACCCCCTTATACTCGAACATCATGGGCAGGTGAAGGTTGGGCCAAAGGCACCTGGGCAGCCGGTCTCCACCTGGTTCCCCTGACTCACTGGTGGAGGGCCAGGAACCACACCCCATCCCAGGGAGCACTGAGGTGACAGGTGAGGCCCCACGTGGGGCAGAGAGGAGCTGAGTTTCGGGTGCACCAGCTGAGCCCCAGAGAGAGGTGAGCGGGGGTCTCGGCTGGAACTCATGCCCACTTTGCGTTTCAGAATTTCAGAACTTCCAGAGTTCGTTCTTTCTTTCTTTCTTTCTTTCTTTCTTTCTTTCTCTCTTTCTTTCTTTCTTTCGTTCTTTCTTTCGTTCTTTCTTTCCCTCTCTCCCTATCTCTTTCTTTCTTTGTTTCGTTCTCTCTTCTGTCTTTCTTTCTTCTTTCCTTCCTTCCTTCCTCTCTCTTTTCTTTCTCTCTTTCTCCCTCCCTCCCTTCCTTCCTTCCTTTCTTTCTTTCATTCATTCTTTCTTTCTATTATTTTAGTGTTTGGGGTCACACCCAGCGATGCTCAGGACTTACTCCTGGTTCTGCAGTCAGGAATGGTACTGAACGCAGTCAGGGTGGTACTCAGGGAACCATCCATATGGGATGCCGGGAACCGAACCCTTTCAACCGTGCAAGGCAAGCGCCCTGCCCATGGTATTACAGCTCTGCCCCTGCAGAATTCTTGAATAGTTTGAATTTTTGGTTTAGTCCTTTCCGTGTGAGTCACCTTGGACATGTGGAGGGTGTGAGTCCCGACTTTGCGGGGGGGGGGTGCCAGTAGCACGAAGGGGGGCTACTGCCAGCCAGGACACTGAATAGGTGGTGGCCACGGGAGAGTTTCCTGTCTCCTGTGGCCTGCCTGTCCCCTGCAGCTGCCTTCACTGAGGTCTGCCCTGGTGACCTGCCCTACCTGTGGGGCCAGCACCTGGGTGGCACTGGCATTCCTGGCATTCCTCCTGCCTCTGGGGGTGACCAGCGCTGGTGCCAGTATTGGGGGGTGATGGCAGGGAGCAGAGAGGCAGCGGTTCCTGTTTGGTAATGAGAAGGCCCCCACCCGGGGGCACGGTTACTTGACCAGGAAATTGGGGGTGCTCCTCTCTGGCCCCTCGCCTGCCCAGCCGCTGTGCTGACCCCATCCTGCTCACCGCGTGGGTGAAAGGGAGCCGGCTGTGCAGTGACATCAGCCTCAGCGGCTGGTGTCACCTATGAGGAAACTGAGGCGAGGTCAGGGAGCAGGTTGCCCAGTTCCAGGCGGTGGCAGATGGATGTGCAAGTCCAGTTGTGGTTGGCAGCTGGCTCTGGGTCCCTGCGGCATGCTGTGTGCTCTCGGGGCACTCAGTGGCTCGGGCCTGGGGCATGGAGCCCGAGCGAATGTGGCTGCCAGTGTGTGGCCCTGTGGGAAAGGGGAGGCCGGGCCTGCCTGAGGCAGGCGCTTGGTGACTGGCTGGCGGAGGTGAGGGTCAGGCCAGCCCCGGTCCCTGCCTCTGGATTGGCTGGGACAGGGACAGGAGCTCCAGTTCCAGGTGCCCCCGCTGGGCCCCCCTCCCCCGCCCCCAGGGCATTTGTTTCCATTCAGGAGTTGGACCCACCCTGGGCTCTCCGAAGGCTCCCACAGCGCAACAAAAGCAACTTTGCTGCAGCCACTGCCACCTGTTGGGTTTTCACACATTGCAGGGGGAGAGGGAGGGAGCGCTGTCCTTTTCCCAGTGTCTGAGCTGTGCCCCCTCTGCCGAGCCCCTCCCCACCCCGGTCCTGGGATTCTCTTTGCCGCCCGTGTGACAGGGCTCAGGGGCCACAGCAGCTGGAAGGGGAGCCGAGCGGGAAGGAGCAGCAGCAGGCAGGGTTTGATGGATTACTCGGCAGGCCCAGAGCTTCTCCCTAATCCCCCTTTGTGTTTCGCACGCAGCCCCCTGACTCCCTCTGACAAGCTGCTAAGCAGAAGGCTTCCAGGCCCCAGGAAGAAAGGCCAGCACAGCAGGGCCCAGTAAATCCCGGGGCTGGGGGGCTGGGGGTGCTGGGAGGGGGCCTGCAGGTGGAGAGGTCCCACCCTGGAGGTGCTGGGGGCGCCCTGTGAGGACCTCAGCCATTTGTGCCAGGCACTGTGGCCTTTTCACTGGCATTGGGGAACAGCCCGGCCTGCCCTGGGGGTCGGGGCCTGAGGAGGGTTGGAGGGCAAGAGCCGGGGCTGGCCCAGGTGGGATGCCCAGGACACAGCAGCTTCCGTGTCTAGCCCCTGCCAGCCAGCCAGGCTCTTCTGGGCTGTCCCCAGGCACCTCGTGGAAGTAACACAAGGCTGAGCCCACTTGGGTGTATCTACAAGGCCCTGGACTTGGGTCCCAGGACTGAGCAGGATCCCCCAGACCTTTCCCTGCCCTGCCTCCCTCCCTTGAAGGCCCTGAAGAGCTCGTCTTCCAACCAGATTCTGCGTTCTGGGGGGCTGGAGCCATAGTACAGCGGACAGGGCACTTGCCTTGCACGCGTTCAACCCGGGTTCAATTCCCGGCATCCCATATGGTCCTCTGAGCACTGCCAGGAGTAATTCCTGAGTACAAAGCCAGTAGTAACCCCTGTGCATTGCCGAGTGTGACCCAAAAAGCAAAAAAGAAAAAGAAAAGATTCCAGTTAGAGGAAAAGGGAGGGGGTCCCTGTTACCCTCACTGCAGCCTCTCTGGGGGGGGGGTTGCTCCCCACAGTGCTCAGCCTCCACTGGGTGGGTGACCCCCACTCCATGCAGCTGAATCATCATTCTCGGGGCACCTCCCCAGCCCAGCTCCTTCTGGGGAGCGCTATCCCGGGAGAGAGAAAGCCCCTCGGGCTTTGTGAGTGAGGAGGGACCGCAGGGTCCCAGCGCAGGGTCAGCCTTTGAGGCGCAGGCAGAGCCGTGCATAAAGAGGCCATAGAATTGCCGCTCCCTGGCCCAAGCGCCTCGCGGCCTCTGTCAGCGGAGGGCATGCCCCCCCCACAGCTCCACCTCAGCCGAGGGGGTGGCAGGGCGCCCCTTTGAAAGCCCTCAAAGGCCCCTTTATCTGTCCTGCTGACCCTCCCTTCCTGCAGGAGCTAACCGGGAGAGGGTCTGGTGGCCTTTCCGCCGCCGCCTCTGTCTTTTGAGTTTGGGAGAAAGTTCAGGCCAAATGTGTTCCTGTTGCTCAGTTTCATTTCCCTGTACTTCCTCCTTGTTTGAGCCTTAACCAGGGGAGGGAGGAGATGGGAGGTTGACGTGTAGGGGGTTAACACCCCTGCCACTTTCTCCCTTTGGAGCGACTGCCTTGGGCTCAGCTGGAAATCCCTGGCAGTGTGGGAAGGGGGTGCCCCAAGGCCTCTCAGCCTTCTACCCCAGCCCCATCTCTGGGCCCCTTCTCAAGCCCGGCCACGAAGGCTTGCGTCGGAGTCTGCCATTTCCCAGGGTGCAGGTTTCTGGAGCTGGGCAGAGTCCAGGTTACTTGGAACTGGATTTCTCTGAACTTGGGGTGGGCCGCCTCCAGGAGGAAGGAAGGAGGGCCTGGGGCAAGCTCTGGGAAGGAGCCTGGAGATCTGTGGTTTCCTCCCTCCGCCTCCTCGGGACCCTTACTGAGGGGCCCTGAGACTTGAGGGTCTGCTCAGAGGCTGAGCTCCCTTTCTGTGCCTCCACTCCCCCGCCGCCCACCCCTCCCTTCCAGGTGAGCAGGAAGCCACTGGCTGCTGTGTTGATCTTCTGTTTGCTAGACAGGCCCGGAACTGCAGGAGCAGCAGGGCAGAAGTGGTTTGAGACTACAGAGAAAGAATTAAGACCCTCTCTCCGCCTGTGTCCCAGACGGGGGTGGGGGGTGCACCAGGGATCTGTCACTTGGCGGCTTTGGCGAAGAATGTGCCCTGCGGCTCAGAGAGGAGAGGGTCTGAGAACTGGTTGGGGACCGGGCTTCTGTGGGGTGGGGGGGGTGTGTGGGGTGCACAGCTCTGGGTGGGGGTGCTGGAGCCAGTAATACTCTGGCAGTTTCTCTGTAGTTTCTGCCACCCCAGGCTCCCACAGGAAGGGTAAAGTACGGGGAACTGGGGCAGAGCAAGGAGAAAGGCAACTTTGGTGAGAAGAGAATTCCCAAAGGCTCAGAATTCCTGAGGATGTTTGGGGCTAGGAAGAGTGAAGTTGGACTTGGCAGGAGAGCCTTGGAGCCCTGGGCATCGGGGAACTCAAAGAGGCAGGCGGGGCCCAGCAACCTAAGAGCAGAGGGGAGCAGAGGTGGGCTGGGGCCTGCCCACTTCCTCCCACCTCCTTTCAAGGAAATCCTCCTGGCCCAGGTAGGAGAGCGGGGAGCACAGAGACTCTGGGAGGCCCCGGCTGCCTTGGAGTGTGTGTGTGTGGGGGGGGGGACACACCTCTTGACCCTTTCCCATATTTTTTCCTTGTGGGCTAAGGAATTGAGTCCTGGGAATGAGCTCAAGGAGGGAGGTAGGAAGGCCGGGGGTGGGATGGGTGATTTCTGAGGTGCTCTGGTTGGAATCACAGGGTCCCAATGGCCGAGAAAGGCTGGGGCTGACCACGTCTCCTTCAGAACCCAGAGTGGGTGAGAGTGGAAGGTCCTCTGAGATGGGAGGTGGGGGTGGAGGGGCTGGGCGCTCTTGGAGCCAGACCCGCTCCCCCTGGATAGCACCACTCCGGCCTCTGCGTGGGTTCCTGCAGGGGTACAGTGGCAGTGCGGCCACAGGGAAGGGCCATTACAGGCCCCATAACTGTCAGCTAAGGGGGCGGTCAGTACACACTTCTCTCTGGGTCTGAGCAGGGATCTGGGGTGCAGGCTGCCCGCTACTGGGGCTCTGAAATCCTTTCCTGGACTGCCAGCTGCAAGGCCTGGCAGCTATTGGGGCCAGGACAGACTTACCCAATGGTGGCTGTGGGCATGGGTGTTCTCCATCTGCCACAGGGCCCTCGTGGCCCCTGGGGGGTTGGTGTGCTTCAAATAGGTACCAAGGTTGGAGAGCCGGGGGCAGGGGGGCAGAGCTGAGGGGAGCCAAGTCCCTCAGCTCCTGTTCTCTGCCCCTGACAGTGACTTCGAAGTGATGGGCAGTCATGCCCCTGTCTGCTTTGGGGTGGGTGCTGCCTTCCACCTCTTCAGGCCCTCACCTTGTTTTGCCCCTTCTGCTGTTCTCCATGGCTAACCAGGGGTCAGTTCTACACACGCATGCACGCACGCACGCATATATCCTCCCGTTGTTCATTGATTTGCTTGAGCGGGCACCAGTAACATCTCACAACAAATTGTGAGACTTGTTGTTACTGTTTTGGCATATTGAATACGTCACATCATGGGAAGCTTATCAGGCTTTGCCATGCAGGCGAGATACTCTCAGTAGCTTGCCGGGCTCTCCATATATATATATATATATATTTATGTATATACATGTGTGTATATATGGGCTGGAGCCATAGCACAGCGGGTAGGATGTTTGCCTTGCACGCAGCCAACATGGCTGACCCGAGTTCAATTCCTCCGCCCCTCTCGGAGAGCCCGGCAGCTACCGAGAGTATCTCGCCCGCACGGCAGAGCCTGGCAAGCTCCCCGCGACGTATTCGATATGCTAAACACAGTAACAACAAAGTCTCCAATGGAGACGTTACTGGGCCCGCTCGAGCAAATTGATGAACAACGGGAGGACAGTGCTACAGTGCAGTGCTATATATATATATATATATATATATATATATATATATATATACACACACACACACATATATACACACACATATATATATACACACACTGTCACTGTCCTCCCGTTGTTCATCGATTTGCTCGAGTGGGCCCAGTAACGTCTCCATTGTGCGACTTGTTACTGTGTTTGGCATATCGAATACGCCACGAGGAGTTTGCCAGGCTCTGCCGTTGTATATATATGTATATATTTGGTTATACATATTGGGTTTTTTGGATCACACCTGGCAATGCTCAGGGGACCATATAGGATCCCAGGGATCAAACCCAGATCAGCTGTGTGCAAGGCGAATGCCCTACCCACTGTACTATGGCTCCGGCCCCCAGGAGTCACTTCTAAGTGGAGTGACTGACTGCTGGGGCCCTTGCCAGAAGCCCCACAGACCCGGCCTGCCGAGAGGGTTCAGGGGAGCATCCATGTACCGGCTGCAGGCACTTCTTCATGGAGGGGAGGTTCTGGGGAGCAGAGAAAGGCTGCCCAGGAAGCAGCGGGACTTCCTGCCAGCCAGGGGTCACTGTTCGTGCCAGACTGGGTGGTTTCATGCCTTGGAGCAGCCAGGACCTGGGAAGGGCTGCACTGTTCCGTGACAGGACAGCGTGAGCGCTGGCAGCGACCCAGCGGGAGGGTTTAGGGCCCAGGCCCTGCCAGAGGTGCCCTGACGGCCCAGCCTTCCCTGGGGGTGGGGGTGCTGACTAGGAAGCGTTTCTCTTGCTTGACAAAGGGGAATTGAGCAGCCTGGTTTCGGGAAGTGCAGAGAGCAAGGCAAACAGGCCAGCAGGGTAGCGGGTCCAGGGGCACCGCGATAAGAGGCTCTGGGTGGCCACGGGCCGTGTGGGTTTGGTTCTTTTTCCACCGCTAGCAGGCGAGAGCGATCACAAAGGGGTTCCAGGACACAGAAGAACCCACAGTTGTTTGAGTCTACAGTGTGCTGAGGCTTAAAAATCATATTTACCCAATTAATTATGCCAGCCTTAGGCTAACATTGACACGCATTTCCTGACTGGGCGGGTGGGCGGCGCCACACCATCAGTCTGCCCAGCCCAAGGGAGCAGGATTTGGAGAACTTGAAGCAAATCCTGGAGACCTGGTGCCCAGGACTTACCAGTCTGGGTTTTCTGCCCCTTTTAGGAGCTGAAGCCACAAGACATGTCCCGACCAAGACACCCCGTGGCGGCAGAGGCTTAGCATGGGCTGAGCGCTGGACCCGCACGCAGGAGGGCAGAAATGGGCTCCTGGCGGGGGCTCAGGCAGTCAGGCGCAGCCCGGAGAGGCCTGGGCATTTGGAGCAGGGCCGGGACAAGGCCCTGCTGGCGTGCGTGAAGCGGGGAGCCCTGCCCGCCATGGCCCAGAGGCTGTGGGGGAGCCGCGTGCTGCGGCATCGGAAGGCCCAGCTCCTGCTGGTCAACCTGCTGACCTTTGGCCTGGAGGTGTGCCTGGCCGCCGGCATCACCTACGTGCCCCCGCTGCTGCTGGAAGTCGGGGTCGAGGAGAAGTTCATGACCATGGTGCTGGGTAAGTAGCCGGGCTGCCTCCCCGTCCCTCTCTCTGCTCCCCACAGATCCGGCCTGTGTGCAGTGCCCGGGGCGGGGCGAGGGCAGAGACCCTGGGAGGGAGGGGAGAAGGCAGGGACAAAACCTGCTCACTCTGTCCTGACCTGCTCAGGGCTGGGTCCCCAGGCAACACTGGGCCACCTTCTCGTCCCCTTTGTCCAGCCCTTGTCATTGACATTCCTCCTCTCCTGGCCACCGCCTTCAAGGTGCCCGACGTCACAGAGAGGGTCACAGAGGGGTCTGGGGTGGCGGGTAACACCTGGGCCCTAGCTGCAGGTGAATCGACCTGCCGCAGAGGACAGAGGTCATTCCACCAGGTCCCCGTTGAGACAGGAGGACTGGCCCCGGGGCCAGACAGCCCATTGGAGCCCGAGCCATACCTGCCTGAGCTCTGTGCTTGTGTCCAATACCACAAAGCAGCCGCTTCATGCTTCTTCCTCACTTTCTTTTTTGGCTTTGGGGCCGCACCCATTGGTGCTCAGCAGTTAGTCTCGGCAGTGCTCAAGGGACCGTGAGGTACCAGAGATTTGAACCCAGGCCTCCTGCATGCAAAGATTGTGCTCAGCCAGTTGAGCCCCTCTGAGAGGGGGCTGAGCGATCTCAGGGCGGCCTGGAGTTCCGCAGGCATCAGTATGAGCCGAGCCCCTGAGCACGCTGGTCTCTGCTCCTCTTCCGGGAGAAGGCACCTGCCCCTGCCCCGCCCTGCACCCCGGCTCCTGGCTCAGACGGCTCGTCCTTCTTACAGGTATTGGTCCAGTGCTGGGCCTGGTCTCAGTCCCGCTCCTGGGCTCGGCCAGTGACCGCTGGTGTGGGCGCTACGGCCGCCGGAGGCCCTTCATCTGGGCCCTGTCGCTGGGGGTGCTGCTGAGCCTCTTCCTCATCCCGCGGGCTGGCCGGCTGGCAGGGCTGCTGTGCGCGGACCCCAGACCCCTGGAGCTGGCGCTGCTCATCTTGGGCGTGGGGCTGCTGGACTTCTGCGGCCAGGTGTGCTTCACCCCCCTGGAGGCCCTGCTCTCCGACCTCTTCCGGGACCCAGACCACTGTCGCCAGGCCTTCTCCGTCTACGCCTTCATGATCAGCCTGGGGGGCTGCCTGGGCTACCTGCTGCCGGCCATTGACTGGGACAGCAGCGTGCTGGCCCCCTACCTGGGCACGCAGGAGGACTGCCTCTTCGGCCTGCTCGCTCTCATCTTCCTCACCTGTATGGCAGCTACGCTGTTTGTGACCGAGGAGGCCGTCCTGGGCCCGGCGGAGCCCGCAGAGGGGCTGGCGGGGCCCTCCTGGCTGCTCCACTGCTGCCCGTGCCGTGCCCGCCTGGCCGTGCGGAACCTGGGCGCCCTGTTCCCCCGGCTGCACCAGCTCTGCTGCCGCGTGCCCCGCACCCTGCGCCGGCTCTTCGTGGCCGAGCTGTGCAGCTGGACGGCCTTCATGACCTTCACACTCTTCTACACAGACTTTGTGGGCGAGGGGCTGTACCAGGGCGTGCCCAGGGCCGAGCCAGGCACCGAGGCCCGGAGGCACTACGATGAAGGTGAGAGCTGGGCGGCAGGGAGCTGGGCCCGGGAGAGGGTGGGCAGTGGGTGTGACGGCCCCTCGGAGGAGGTGACCCCCAGCGGCGCATGAGCTGGCCACAGAATTTTTGGGCCCCGGCTTCTCATCAGGCAAAGGGGTCCGTCTCTGACGGGCAGGGCAGCCTCATGTCAGTCTTTGCCCCAATTTGGCAGAAGACTGAGCTGACTAGAGCCCAGAGTGGCCCTTCAGCAAAGGCGGCAGCCGCGAGACCCAGTACCTTTGCCACCCTGCCATGGCTAGGGGGTCTCGGGAAGAGCTGTCTTTGCACCTGCTCTCCCTTATCCCCTGCCAGCCCCTGGCGCCTCTTCCTCTGCCCTTGACCACATTCCCAAGGTCAGTAGCTCACCTCCCCTTGCTAGGAAGCTAGGGGTGTGTGTGTGTGTGTGTGTGTGTGTGTGTTGGGGGCGGTGCTGCGAGCAGCTCTCTGTGGCCCCTAGTTCTGACTCCCCCCATCCCTTGTGTCCCTCTCTCCAGGGGTCCGGATGGGCAGCCTGGGACTCTTCCTGCAGTGCACCATCTCCTTGCTCTTCTCTCTGGTCATGGATCGGCTGGTGCAGCGGTTCGGCACCCGCGCCATCTACCTGGCCAGCGTGGTGGCGTTCCCCGTGGCCGCCGGCGCCACCTGCCTGTCCCGCAGCATGGCGGTGGTGACCGCCTCAGCCGCCCTCACTGGCTTCACCTTCTCCGCCCTGCAGATCCTACCCTACACCCTGGCTTCCCTGTACCACCGGGAGAAGCAGGTACCCCGGGGCTGCTGAGTGGATGGGGGGATTGGAGGCCAGTCTGGTGGGAGAGGAAGCCCAGCTTAGCCCCAGGGTGCAGAGGTGGGGTGCACATGAGATTCTGGGCTCCACTTGGGGGGGGGGGGCGTGGTGAGGACACGGAGCAGATGCTGCAGGAAGTGAGGAGGGCGCCCTCTCTGGCAGCGCGGGGCAGGGCACATGCGCAGCTCCACTCCACCGCCAGGGGCTTTGCAGGTGTCCCCTCACTGCGGGACGGAGGAACAGTGTCTCTCAGGATGCTCCAGCGCACCTGGTCGCACAGGCAGGCCTGGCTTTTGACTTCAGCTCCCCTTCATGCCTTACTTCTTGCCCTCTGCCCCCACCCCAACCCAGCGGCACAGCGAACCCCATGCCCCCAATACTGCAGGCTTGAGTACTGGGTATTTGGGGTGGGGGGAGGCCTCCTTCCATTCAGCCCATCACTGACCAGTGCCAAGTGCTGGGGGGTCCTTTCTCGCTGAGCTAGTCCCCTGGTCAGGAGTCCGAGGGGCTCAGGGACTATGCCCATGCCCCCTGCACCCCAGGGTCACCCTGCTGCTCTCCAGAAGTGGCTGGTGGTCCTTGACACCTGGGGTGGGCCACAGCCTTGCTTGCAGACACCCACTGAGATCCTTGTCGCCTCTTTCACAGGGTGGAGGCTCCCAGCTCCCCACTGCCAGGCCCACTGCTCCCACATCTCAGTGGTCAGGGACGGTGGCCTGTCTGCTGGGGTAGGCCTGGCCAGGCCATTGCGGCATGATGTGGGGACCTTGAACAGTGGGGAGCGGAGCTCTTTCTCCTGGCCATGGGACCACAGCACTCACTGTCACTCAGCACCGGCACCAGCCTGGGCCAGTGGAGCTATTTCTGCACTGGTCAGGAAAGGGTGCACCAGAGCTTCCACCATTGGGTTTTGTGCTTCCTCTTAAGCATTTCTCTTCTCGCTGCTCTAGGCGAGGCTGGAGACCGCGACCTCTGTTTCTCCATCTGTCCCCCTCCTGAGCAGGGACCCCAGCAGGCCACAGATACAGTTTTTTTCTCACCTTGGGCTTGTTGCCTGGTTTCTTCCAGCTCCTGGATGGAGGCAGCCTCTGGCCTCTTGGCTGGAGGACCCCAAACCCGGGCTACACCTGTCCTTGTTGCCCCCTTTCTCCCTCTCCCAGGTGTTCCTGCCCAAGTACCGAGGCGATGCTGGAGGTGGCGCCAGTGAGGACAGCCTGCTGACCAGCTTCTCCCCGGGCCCCAAGGCCGGGTCTCCCTTCCCCAACGGACACTCGGGGGCCAGCCTTCCACCCGCCCCGGCACTCTGCGGAGCCTCTGCCTGTGACGTCTCCACGCGGGGGGTGGTGGGCGAGCAGCCCGAGGCCAGGGTCGTTCCAGGCCGGGGCATCTGCCTGGACCTGGCCATCCTGGACAGCGCCTTCCTACTGTCGCAGGTGGCCCCGTCCCTCTTCATGGGCTCCATCGTCCAGCTCAGCCAGTCCGTCACGGCTTACATGGTATCGGCCGCAGGCCTGGGGCTGGTCGCCATTTACTTTGCGACACAGGTGGTATTTGACAAGACCGACTTGGCCAAATACTCGGTGTAGAGTGCTCTCTCTGCCCAGAGAAGGGCCTGCCTCCCCGGGTCCCGGCCCCCCCAATTCTAGCCTCTGAGAGCCCGTCAGGGTCTGTTGCTGCCAAAGTGGTGTGGCCCTCTGCTGCCACCGTGTGGCGGAGAGGGGCACAGCTGCACAGGCCAGGGTGAAGGGCGAGGCCCCTGGGGCCTCTCCCGCGAGCTTCAGTCAGCACTTCTCGACAGGGAGGCCAGAGGGCAGGACAGTTGACTAGCGCCGTGCACTGGAATGCAAGACTCGGTCGGGGTCTTACCCAGGCTCAGGGGTACCAGCTTAGTGTCTTGATAGGACAGACCAGGGAAGGAACTTGGGAGCTGAGTGAACTCAGCCACCACATCCCCCAGAGTCCCCGTCTTCCGCAGTTTCCCCAATGTTGCTCTTGCTTGGGAGTTTCTGCTGTGAAACTTTCCTCAATAGGATTTGAGATTATGGAGGTTCGTGGGAAGAGTCCCTGGTCCTGCAGAGCTGCTGCCCCCACCCTCCTCCCCCCCCCCCCAGCCCTGCAGTACTACCCTCTCCATCCCAACCCTGCCTCCTCTTTGCTGGGCCCTGTGTTGCCAACCAATGGGTGGCCTTTAATCTTTTATTATTATTATTATTATTATTATTATTATTATTATTTGGGGGGGGGTGTCACACCGGCAATGCTCAGGGGTAACTCCTGGCCCTGCACTCAGGAATTACTCCTGGTGATGCTCCAGGGACCATGTGGGATGCCGGGGGATCAAATCCGGGTCGGCCAAGTGCAAAGCAAGCGCCCTACCCACTGTACCATTGCTCCAGCCCCAGGCCTTTAATAATTTAACTTATTTAAGTCACGGGGAACTGACTCCCAGCTCTGCCATGTGGGTGCCTACCAGTTGGGTGAGGTTAGATTTCCCCGTTGCCCGTGTCCCTGAAAGATCTGGTTAGTGGGTAGAGCATTGCCAGAATCCTTCCCAGCCTCAAGCTGCCGAACCAGGAGCTTAGAAGCTCTGCGCCCCCCACCCCCAAATGATCCCCGAATCTCATTGCTCCAGGCTATGGGGCTCCCCACCCCTCTCTCTCTCTCTCTCTCTGGGACAGCTGATGAGCTGCTTCCCGCCTTCCCCCACAAGCTCCCCTGCCTTGGGTCTGTTGAGGACCAGAAGCACAGATGTGGGTCCTCTGACCTTCCTCCAGACACGTCTGTGCTCGGGGAGGCTTGCACAGAAACTCAGGAGCACCCCCTGACTGGGCAAAGAGGTTTTTCTCTCTGGGGGGTTTAAGTGCCGTTTGCAATAATGTAATGTCTTATTTATTTAGTGGAGTAAATATTTTATACTGTATGTGAGCAATCAGAATATGTTTATGGTGATGAAATTAAAGGCTTATATGTTTAATTGGACTGTGTCCATCTTTTCTGAGACAGCACGAGGCCAGAGCACTCAGCCGCACTTCCCAGTGCCATCAGCAGGTGGAGCCATAGGACAGCGCACGCGGGTCCCTTGCTGATGGGATGTGGCTGGGGTGTGGCTGCGTGCCCCTCCCCCTCCTCTTCCCTCTTGGGGGGGGCAAGTCTGGGGACTTGCAGGGAGGTAGGAGAACGCAGGGTGTAGGGAAGTGAGGCATCTTCTTACAGGAAGTAGCATGGACACCAGCCACAGCTGTAGGAGTAGGCCTGGCCGAGGGACCTCTGTCCTTGGTCCAGGCTGAGGACAAGCATGGCCTTTCCCACCTCGCTTCCCTGACTGCCCAGTCTTCATAGCTTCCTCTACCTCGCAAGAGGTCAGGACCATCAACCAGCCCTCTGCAAATACAAATTTTATTCTCATGAAGGTTCTGTATTTGTTAACCTGCTTGTTAAATTGCAGGTTTTATTTAGAATATTCTGCCACTCGTATTTCACCTCTTCTCTACCTCCACCCCCAGGAAAATGTCTGTTTTCTTGGGGGGGCGGGGAGAATCGCATCTGACCTTGTTCTGGGGCTATTCCTGGTTCTGAGCTCAGGGTTTACTCCTGCCTATGCTCAGAAGACCGATTGGTGTCAGGGATCAAACCAGGCTTAGCCACATGCAAGGCGAGTACCTTAATTTCTGTACTGTCTCTCCAGCCCTTAACCCCTGCATGATCTCCCTGACCCTGCTTCTGTTTTTTTGTGTGGCAGAGACCATGCCATTTCACCTGTAAATAACTCAGAATATATATATATATATATATATATATATATTAGAAATAGGAGTTTTAAACAACTTGATCACAGTGCCACAAACACATCCAACAGCTAGGCTTACCTAGTCCATGTGTAAGTTCTCAAATTGTCTTTTCCCTCCCACGGTTGGCTTGTTAAATCCTGCTTAGTGGGGTTCCCCAGGGATGGCTCGCTGGCAGTTCTCCTGCCTTGCAGGTATGAGGGAGGGAGTTTGGTCCCTGTGCCCCTCACAGGATCTGGGTGCAGTTCTCACTGGCTCTGCTGTAGGGACCCCCGCCCCCCACAGCCTGTTGGTGGGAACAACAACTAAATATTGTGTGTGAACTCTGGCAGTTCTGGGACCTCCGCCCCAGGAAGCACCACCTCTAAAGGAGTGAGACCCTCAGTGAGCACATGTGCAAGACCTCTCCAAAGGGCTGTGACCCCAGGTGAATACCAGAGACAAGTGTGTGCTCAGCCCCTGTCATGCAGTAACAGACAAAAAGGCCGCAGAGGGAAGGGGGAATGGTCCGAACAATTAAACAAGATGAACTGTCTCTAGTAGCTATGTCATAGGCATCTCTTAATCTCCAATACTCATTCCCTGTGTTTTAAGTGATGCTTGTTTGTGAAGAAGCAGTCATTCTGCCTCCAGGCCTGCCAGGTTCTATATCTGGACTGTATCCGCAGGTTAACACCTCCTCTTTGGCCTCCTTAAGCTGGTCATTAGAGGCCTGATTAGATTGATTGTCCCGTATTGGTCCCGGGATGTGACTCAGAGCTAGAGCACCTGCCCTGCACTGCCTCACACACCAAATCCATTGTCCATGTCATCCTCACTCACTGCCACTGTGGGGCCTCCTCTTAAGTCGTAGTCAGGGCCTCACACCTGTCTGAGAGATGTGGAGTCACACCCATCTGGGCCAGGGAGATGGTGTGAAGGCTAGCGTACCTGAATGGGGATCCAGAGGCCAAGATCAAGTGGTAGAAAGTCTGAGAGTGGCAGTGACTGAGGATGACATGGGCCATGAAGGAGCAACACTTGGGGGATTCAATACTTGATCTTAGCCTCTTGGTCCCCATTTCTCAAGTGCTGACCCACCTGGACTCTGTGTAGTCAGTGCTTCTCTAAGCTGATGACCCAGCCCTGCAGCCCCCGAACCTCAGCACTGACCAGAAGGCAGCCGGCAGCTCTGTCCACCCCTGTCCCCTGCCCCAGCAGCCTAGACCCAGCTTCAACCACAGAGAGCGGCTTCCCTCTCTGCGGCCCACTTTGTTCTGTGGAACCATGGTGTCTTGGTACCAGCTGCCCCATCTGCTTGGAAAGCCAATTTTCTGGCCCTGAAACTGTCTTTTCTCTTCTTTGTGGAACTGTGCCACATTGCTGTGATGGCTCAGGCATCTGGCACAAGATTTGACTTGCTCACCTCTGATGCTTCCCCCAGATAGTGAGAAATTTCTCTCTGAGCCATGCGGGGTTGAGGTGGGAGGAGAGGAGCAGCCTGTCTTCTTGGGGGGCGCAGGTCAGTGAGGCATTCTGAGGGAAACAGAGTGGGGGCAGCATGCGCCATCCCAGGGTGGGCCACGACCTGGGAGAAAGTGGGTGGTGGATGGGGACTCAGGGAGAACCCCAGGCAAGGTCATGCTGCAGTGAGATCTGGAGGCCAAGGAGGGGTGTCCATTCTGTTCCCCACCCAGTTCTCATGGGGAAAATCAGTCCACATCTGTGTCTGGGCATAGCCAAGGCTTGTGAATTTGGGTTCGATGATGTTAATTCACTCTGGGCCCATCACGCCCAGAGTGAAGGACGGTCCCTCCAGGGGCTGGCCCGGTCACCACAGAGGCATCAGATGGGAGAGGCCCTGACCCCCTGTGGGCCTTAGCAGATCTGTGGAGCTGCCAGCTGCCTTCTGGTCAGTCACTGTTTGCTCACATCGAACAAACAAAATGCAAGGACTGATGCCAAGTATCTTGCTTCTGAGCGGTGGATACCTCAGCTTCTTGTGCCCAGCTGGCCTAGAGACAAGGCTGGCCAAGTTCACTACAGTCCTTGGGGGTGGGGGGGGCATCTCCCTGTCAGTGCTCAGGGACCAGGGTCCACACCCACACCACGTGCGTGAGCACCACCTTTGAGCTCCAGCCCCAGCACATCTCTGTTTTTAACCTTTGGATTTGGTTTAGACCCACTGCTCGAGTGGTTTCCTTTAAAAAAATATAGGTAGGTAGGTAGGTAGGTAGGTAGATAGATAGATAGATAGATGTGTGTGTGTATATATATATGCATATGTGTGTATATATGTATATATGTAGGTTTATGGGTTTTGCTTCGGTATGCTACAGAATTCTTTCATTTATTAATCACTTATCACTTAACTTCCCGTTAGTCGTCGATTTGCTCGAGCGGGCGCCAGTAACGTCTCCATTTGTCCCTGTCGTGTGCTAGTGTAGCCCAATGGCATCTGTTCGCTCCGGGAACATGAAGGGCCTCAGACCGATCGTTCATGATCTTGACGAAGAAATCTGACCATCTGGTAGGTGGGCGGCCACGTGATCTTTTGACATCCCGTGGAATCCAGTCAGTAACAGCTCTGGTCCAACGGTCGTCTTTAAATCTCATTACGTGACCAGCCCATCTGATTTTCGACACCTTGGCAAATGAGACAGCGTCCCTGATCCTTGATCGTCGACGGATGTCAGAACTCCGGATTCTTTCTCTCATTTGAGAGAAACGTGATATTCCAAGCATAGCTCTTTCTATTCTTCTTTGGGAGACCTGAATAGCGTTCTCATCTTGTTTGCGTAGGGCCCAGGTCTCTGAGGCATATGTTAATGCAGGAAGAACAGTGGAATCAAAGAGATGTGCTCGGAGCCGGAGGTTCTTCGTCCTCTTAGCTATTTCTTCGACGTTCTTGAAGGCGTTCCAAGCCGCTCTCTTCCTCCTGCGCAGCTCGGGTGCCAGGTCATTTTTCATGTTGACCTCTCGACCTAGGTACACATAGCTGTTGCATTCGGAGATAGTCGTTCCATTGAGAGCGAATGGGGCGTCAGGAACAAGGCTGTTTCTCATAAACATTGTCTTCGTAAGATTCAGCTGTAGTCCTACCTTTCCACACTCACGGTCAAAGTCGGCCAGCATTTGTGCCGCTTGGCTGATGTTTGGTGTTATTAAAACAATGTCATCAGCAAAGCGGAGGTGGTGTAGCTGCCGACCATCTATCTTCACTCCCATTCCTTCCCATTCCAGTCGTCGCATGATGTTCTCGAGGGTGGCACTGAAGAGTTTCGGTGAAATGGTATCACCCTGCCGCACCCCTCTCTTGACATCAACGATCACTTCTTTGTAGAATGGTGAGATCCTGGTAGTGAATCCGCAATACAGCTCACGGAGGATCCTGATGTATTGGGCTTGAATGCCCTGATTGGCTAGGGCTTCAATGACCACTTCCGTCTCAACAGAATCAAAATCAATAAATCAATGAATGTTAAACAGAGCGGCATCTTGAACTCCCGAGAAACCTCAATGAGCTTGGTTATTGTGTGGATATGGTCGATGGTGCTGAATCCTTTGCGGAACCCGGCTTGCTCGCATGGTTGTCCTTCATCTAGTGTTCTGCCAATTCTATTTAGGATGACTCGAGTGAACAACTTGTAGATGACAGACAATAGGCAGATCGGGCGATAGTTGCCAATGTCATGGATGTCTCCCTTCTTGAACAGTAGTACGGTCCTGCTGGTTTTCCATTGGGATGGAACCTTGCATTCAGACAGGTAGTGAGTGAAGAGCCGAGCCAGTGTATTGATGAGTACTGACGGCAGGTTCTTCAGGTGTTCAGGTCTGACCTTGTCTGGGCCGGGTGCTGTTTGTTTCTTTACCGACGAAATGGCGTGTCGGATTTCGGAAGGGAGAACATTGGGAACGACATATCCATCCTGTGGAATTTGGTATGTCGGCAAGTGGACATGGCTATCGAAGAGATTTGAGTAGAAGTCATGGATAATCTTCTCCATTGCCGTTCTGGAGGATGTGATGGATCCATCAGGACGTCGGAGGGCAGTCATCTTGGTCTTATAGTTGGCGAAGGACAGGCAGGCGTTACGAATACTTTTCCTGGCTTCTGCCGCATCTACCAGTACTTCTGCTCTTCTCTCTTTGAGGTCTTCCTTGATCGCATCTCTGCACTGCTTTGCGAGCTCGGACGTTAGTTTGCGGT